TGGTGAGGGGAAGAAGTTCCTTGGCCGGCTGGTGGATTTAGTGGCAAACTTTTGGCACTTCTCACATTTGCAAACGTACTTTTGCGCGTCTACTTGCATGCACGGCCACCAATATCCTTGCGATATAGCCCGGAAGGCCAGAGATCTGCCCCCTATGTGACTGCCACAGATGCCTTCGTGAATTTCATACAGGAAGGCTTCCACGCTGCTTGGGTGCACACACTTTAAATAGGGACCGGTGAAAGACTTCTTGTATAAAGCGCCTGATGGAGAGAGCCAAAACCGCTCTGACTTCACCCGGACTTTATGTGCTTCCTTCTTGTCGGCTGGAAGGGTCCGCTCTTTGAGAAAAAGGATAATTGGGTCCATCCAAGAAGGACCTAGCTCGGTGCAGAGTACTTCTGTCTGCTCGGCTGTTTTCTTCACGGCCAATCTGTTGGACCCTTATCGCCTGGAATCGCTTGATGTGGTCTCTGACCAGAGCTTGGTACTTCACCATTCTGTCATCCTTTGCTTCATAAACCCTAGAAACTTGGTTAATCACAAGCTGGGAATCACTGTAAACCATTAGCTCGGATGCTTGCATCTGAAGCGCGCTCTTAAGCCCGGCCAAAAATGCCTCGTACTCAGCCTCATTGTTTGATGCAGGGAATCCAAGGGTGATAGAGTGTTCGATGGTCAGTCCGTCTGGCGAAATCAGAACGATGCCCAGCCCGACACCGTGGCGGTTATAAGCCCCATCAACAAAAAGTTTTCACATTTCCCCCGCAAAGAGCTTCTAACATTCTGAAAGGTCCTAGAAGGCCTGAAGATTGATGTTACCACGGTAGCTCGGCTGTTCGACTTCAGGTTCAATGCTGATTGGTTCCACTTCCTCCCCCCTTGGTGATGCGGCACCGGACAGAGCATGTTGGTCGGTGATACCCAACTTCGTCGACGTATCGCCGGGCGGAAGTGTCGTACTAGCTGAAGGTTCTTTGGCGAGGCGTGCAATGTCCTCGTCGCCAACATCGCCAAGCTGTGTTATTTCGGTCGAGCCTGCATTCACCTCCTCATCTGCCGCGGCAATATCCACCGGGCATACCGGATAAGTTCCAAGTGAGAATTTACCAACGAAGTCGGCCAATGTCTGGGCTTTTATGGCAGTGCGTGGCTGAAACTTGACGTCAAACTGTCTCAGTTCGACTGCCCACTTAAGAATTCGACCGGAGAAATCTGCCCATTCGAATAAAGCTTTGAGGGGGAACTCAGTCAAAACGATGATGGTATAAGCATGGAAATAGTGCACTAACTTCTTAGAGGCCATCATCAATACCAATGTAAGTTTTTCCAGCGTCAAGTATCTCGACTCTGCCGGTAGCAAGGTTTTGCTGACGTAGAAGATGGGGAGGTGCTTGATTCCTTCTGATCGGACAAGCACCGCACTAACTGCGTGCTAAGAAACGGCCAAATAAAGGTAGAGTTCTTTACCGGGTTTCGGTGTGACCAACAGGGGTGCTGAAGACAGATACTCCTTGAGCTTAGCCAAAGCCCGGTCACATTCTTCATCCCATGAGAACTTTGTTTTCAGAGCTTGAAAGAAAGGGCGGCAGCGATCTGATGACCGGCTTATAAATCAGTTAAGCGCGGCGGCCATTCCGGCCAGATGCTGCACGTCTTTAGCCGAGCTAGGCTGCTTTAATTCTTTTACGGCTCTGATCTGTGTGGGGTCTGCTTCGATGCCTCGGTTTGTGACTAGGAAACCTAAAAAAATTTCGGATCCCACGCCAAAGGCACACTAAGACGCATTCAGGCGTAGCTTGTGTTGTTTGAGGATGGCAAACATCTCGGCCAAGTCGGACAAGTGGTCTACTTGATGCCGGCTCTTAATCACCATATCATCTATATAAGCCTCCATTGTCCGGCCTAGCAGAGGAGCGAACATCTTGGTCACCATCCTTTGAAAAGTTGCCCCGGTGTTCTTCAAACCAAAAGGCATGACTCGGTAGCAAAAGAGTCCCCTCGGTGTAGTGAAGGAGGTGATCTCGCGATCGAGGCCATGCATAGCAATCTGATGATAACCGCGGTAGGCATCCAAGAAACTGAGCCTGTTATGTCCAGCCGTTAAGTCCACAAGCTGGTCTATTCTGGGTAATGGAAAGCTGTCTTTAGGGTAAACTCGGTTGATGGTCTTGTAGTCGACACAAACTCGCCACTTCCCATTCTTCTTGGGTACAACAACTGTGTTTGAAATCCACCGAGGGTAGTGCACTTTCTGAATAGCTCGTGCCTCAAGTAAGTTCTTTACCTCTTCCACAACTACCTCGGCGTGATGCAACGTCGATCTCCTAGTTCTCTGAATGACCGGCTTTGCACCGTGGATAACATTCAGGTGATGGCAAATGAAACTCGGATCGATGTCGAGCATGTCGTAAGGCCACCATGCGACGACTTTGATGTTTGCCATCAAGAATTCCACCATATCGGTCCTTTCTTGGACGGTAAGGCTTGAACCGAGCAAGAAGAACTTGTTTGGACTTTCTGTGTCAATCCGAACTTCCACCAATTCTTCAACGGCCTTGTCCTCAACCTTGGTGCCCACATCGTCAAGGACTCCCCGGTCTTCTGGTCCCTCAATCATTTGGACGAAGCCTTTTGCAGCTCGGCTCCCGTTGACTGCCACGAAGCATTGCTTCGACATGACTTGATCGCCCCAAACTTCCTCGATTGCCCCCATAGTCAAAGGGAATCTCATCACCTGGTGGTAAATCGATGCTATGGCCTACATAGCGTGAAGCCGTCCCCTTCCAAGGATCAGGTTGTATGTGGACGGCACTTGCAATACCGAGAACTCCACTTGCTTGACCACGGATCCCGCTTTGACCGGCAGAATAATCTTTCCCAAAGGCCACTCAGGTTGTGAGTTGAAACCAACCAGTGGCGAAGTTGCCAGAGCCAAGTCTATATCCCGGAGCTTGAGCTGTTTGAATGCGTCGTAATACATGATCTCGACCGAGCTTCCCTAATCGATCAAGATGCGCTTGACATCGAATTCTTTGACGCGGAGTGTGACCACTTAGGCATCGTTGTGCGGCGTCTGAATGCACTCTAGGTCCCTTGTGGAGAAACTGATCACGTCTTTTTCTTCGGTCTTGCCCCTTTTGATCGCGGGCTGGACCGACAAAACTTCCCTCATGTGCTCCGCTTTCTTGATTATACCTCGGAGTTCACATACACGCGCCGGTTCCACAATACCGTGGATCACATTAACAATGCCCTGAGGGGGTGCCTCCAAGTCATCCGGTCCACACGGATCTACCGGAGCAGGATGCGCGGCTTTAACACCCCCATCAATGTAAAGGTCCAAGTGTCCGACTGCGACTAGCTCCTCTAAGTGTTGCTTCAGAGGCAAACAATCCTCTATCCGGTGTCCGCGCTCCCGGTGAAATGTGCTTCGGTACCGTGGATTAAAACCCTTCTGCGCATCGCCTAACTTAGTAGGAAACCGGACATAATCCTCATCACGGATTTCACTAAGTATGCGATAAATTGGAATCTTAAAGACCGTGGTGATGCCTGTCCGGGCTTTCAACCTTCTGTTCGCATCAGCTACGTCGTCGCGGGGGTATTCATCTCGGTCATTCCATCGACCCCTACCCTGGTTTTGACGATTTAAACCTCAGTCAGATTCCTCGGCGTGATCATTTGAACGGTTGGTCTCCTGTCCGACCGCGTGTACCTTGCCAGCTGACCTCTTGTCTGTTGCTATCAGAGTTGCCTTCGGGGTAGACGCTGCCGCATCATCTTCTACTTGGATGTGCTCGTTGATGCGCTATATTAATTGGCCCATGGATGTTGGCTGGTGCATAGTAAGTGAGTCCCACAGTCTATGTCCGACCGGGAGACCACGCTTGTATTGAGTGATTGCCAAGTTGACCGGGCAATCCAAGATCTCATTGAAAGTTTCCTAGTATCTGGAGTTGCATGCCTTGAATGTGTCGTTCGGCTCCTGTAGACACCCCATTTTTGACCGACCTTAAGACTTAGGCATCACCAACTGGGCGCTCGGTGATGTTGCATATTGTGCTCGTTCTGAGGTTGAGGAGTCTCGGCTGCGAGCCTTGCCTCCGGACTTCGGAGCTCTTTTGTGTTTTGCCTCGGTTTACGAATCAGGTCCTGTTTTCTCTATTTTCTCTTCCCGAAGGGAGGGAGAGGTCTCGTAGACCATCTCTCAGTGGCCGTAGGCTACGTTTCGTGGTCGTAGGCCATTTTTCCCGTTTGGAGCCCGGTTTCCGGTTTTCAGAGCCGTCGACCGTGTGCCTCGGTTCGGGACCGCTTAACTACCTTCATTTGCTCCGTTTTTTGGCACACACCTTATTTCCTTCCTTTAGAGAGACACTGTGGCCCGGGAGACCACCTTCGTGGTCATACGCCACTTCCGGTGCCTAACAGCCTGCTTTCGGGGCCCCGAACCACGCATTTTGGCCCCCGAACCTTCGTTTTTCATCCGTTTTGGTCCATTTTTGGTAGAGACCCTATTTTCATTTTTAGGAAGGTGGTAGGATGGTGGCCGGCCACCTTTTTCCCTGAAAAAATAGTTTCCTCATTTTCTCTCTCCAAAAGTCGGTTTTTCTGACAGAAAGCTGGTTTTTCTCACTTTTGAGCCACATTTTCTGGCTTTTCATACCACCATTGTGTTGTGCTCATCTGGGAGGCCACCAATATGGGTAGGCCGGTCAGAAATTCATCTTGACCCTTTTGAACCTTACTTAAAAGCTAACTTTTCTCTCTCCTAGGTCACATTTTCTGGTTTTTCTCTACATAGCTGTGTTGCACTCATCTGGGAGGCCACCTTTCTGGGGTGGCCGGCCAGAAAATTTTGTTGACCCTTTTGACCCCTGGTCGGCCGGCCACTTGAACTGGCCGGCCTGCTTCTTGCTTTTTGCTTTTTCTGAGTGTAGTCCAACTGTGCCGGCTGGAGACCATTTGGTGTATCCTCTATACACGTGTATGGAGGATACTTGGGCACCTTTTTGGATATTTTGTAACCTCTCCTCTATAAAGGAGAGGCTTGGCTTCATATCAAAGGGTTGAACAAAATTTCTTAAGGCATATAACCTCCCTCCTCCATTGTCACTATTCTAAGCTCCAAAACCCTAATTTTCTTGGTCCATTTGCACTACAACCCTTAGCACCACACCTCCATCATCCATTCCAGCACCTTGAAAGTCATTTGCAGAGGGTGACAGTTCACCAACTTGGTCCAAAAGCTGCTGGAGGTCGGCTCTTCAAGGGTAAGTGTCTATTTCCCTTAAACTTGCATTTTTTTGCTTCATTACTTAGCTTTACTTGCAAGTATTTCTGGGCTTTGTCATAAACTAGAAAGTGTCATATTTTGAGCTCCTCTTCAACTTTGTTTAAGGCACTTTTCTGTTTGAGGTCATCTACTTCCCCTTACCCTCTATCTCTCTTTTAGGGCTATTTTTGCATCATACTTTAGCCTTACTTGTGAACATTTTTGAGATTTGTTATAAACTGGAAAAAGCCTTTTTTTAACCTCCTCTTTAAGTTTTCTTAAGGTCACTTTTCTGTTTGGGGTCATCTCCTTCCTTGCATGCTTCATTCCTTCATATTTAGGGCTATGCATTAGAGCATTTGCATTGGACTTGTTTTGGCCTCTTAGCCACTAAAATCTAGGGGATTTTCAATGGCTTTGATGAGGTTTTTAGCTTTGAAATCATATAGGGGTGACCCTCTCACCCCTCATTTTCTTTACTAGCATCATTGGCTTTCCAAAGGGGCTCTATTTTGCATGCATTAAAGTCACTTTTTAGGCCCAGTTTTGTGGATTTTAAGGTCTGCCTTAGGTCTGTCCGGGGCCCTTTTGATCATATTTTATGTCTATAGTGCATGTGTAGAACAATTCCATTCAAGGCCTTTTCAGGGGGCCTTTCATCGCATGCTTCCTTGACTGATTTCAGGGCCAATTTTGTGAGTTTTAGGGCTGTCATAACTCATTTCTATAGTTGGTTTGGTCATGCTAAGTGTCTATCTTATATGTGCTTAACAACCCCTTGAATGGCCTTCCAAAGAAGCCCCTCATTTTTGCATGCATTGGCTGCATTTCAGTGATTATTTGGGAACATTTTAGAATGTTTTATTCACTGTTTTTAGCTGATTTTATGATTTCTTATTTTCTTCATATACATGCCATGTAAACCATGCTTGCTAGCCAATGTTGCATGCTATTTTAGTCCATCATGTTAGTATCTTTTGGCCATGCTCTAAACTATAAGTGTGCATGTTTTGGGATTATCTTGGCTCTGTCTTTATACTTCATGATCAAATAAAGCTTGATTTGTATACTTGTGGCTCAATGCATGTGTCTAGTATTGAGTTTCGGGGCTTATTCCATGCATCGGGTGCCATGTTTCCATGTTTCGGGATCATTTAGCATCATATTTTAGTGCTGGAAATTACATTTTCATAGACCATCTTTCATCCCTTGCCATGCTTTGGTAGAGTGGCATTTGATGCCTTAGGTTCGGTCCTCGGTATGCGTGCATGTGTGCACGTATTTCGATTGTCTCATTTTCATCTAACGGCTTCTGATGTGAGTGTGGTTGAGGTCCACTCATGTTGGTGTAAGTCCATTTTGCATTGTGTATACCTTTTCAATTCATAGCATTGCGTATGCTAGGTTGCGTGTTAGAGCATTGTGTATGCCATTTCATAGCATTGCATATGCTAGGTTGCATGTTAGTCGCATTGTGTATGCCATCTCATATGCATTGTGTTTGGGATAAGAGTTAGCCCGAGCACGGAAAACGAGGGACGTTTCGTACTCCGAGTGACGGAACGTGTCTCAATTCCCGGTCGCCGACACTCCGGATTACCCATGATGGAGTTTAGGTCTTGTTGTGTTTTTATGTGCATTCATCTCATATTGAGTCGTGCAATTCGGCTCCTCGGTCATTATGCATCGATATACGTGATTGGTGGCACGAGGATCGAGGACTACACTCCCTGAAGAGTAGTCATGCATACATATGTGAAAATACTTTGCCATGCTC